AGGTTTATACAAGATTTTGCTGAAATAGCTAGACCTCTTAATAACTTACTAAAGAAGAATCAAATATTCTGCTGGTCGGAAGACTGTGATAAATCTTTTGAAAGTTTAAGAACAAAGTTAATTTCACCACCAATCTTAAGCTACCCAGATTTCTCGAAAAATTTTATATTAACGACAGATGCCTCTAATTATGCATTAGGAGCAGTTTTGTCACAAGGAGAAGTAGGAAATGATAAACCAATAGCTTATGCTAGTAAAACTCTAAACAAGCATGAAATAAATAAGCCTGTAATAGAGAAAGAACTTCTTGCAATTCATTGGGGAATTAATTATTTCAGACCATACTTATATGGACGAAATTTTACGGTATATACTGATCACAGACCATTAGTTAGTCTTTTTACACACAAGAATCCATCTTCAAAACTGACGAGGATTAGGATAGATTTAATGGATTACAATTTCAACATTATATTTAAACAAGGGAAAATGAATACGAATGCAGATGCACTATCTAGGATTCAATTAGATTCAAAGCAACTAATTGAAATGATACCCAAAAATATAAATGTATTAACAAGAGCAATGAGCAAAAATATTAAAGCACATAAAGAAGAAAGTAAAAAGCAAACCTTGAATGCTAACACGGAGATTGATCACCTCCACATGTGGGAAGCAACATCAATAACAGATGTAAGATTTGTAAAGAAACTTGAATTTAAAAAGGTAAACCATTCTGCAGATGGAAAAGAAGAAAAAGCACTTGAACACAAGAATAAAAAGTTCAATAGAAATAGTGCAAAATATATTAAAGGTGGAAAAGCACTTGAACATAAAAATAATAAGTTCAATGAAAATAGTGCAATAAATATTATAGCAGCAAATAAAATAGTTGTCGAATACAACGAGAAATCATTATCAGAGATAAAATTGATTCTGAAGAAGTTATTATTCAAAATGAACAACTTAAAAATTACAACGCTAGCGTTAGCAGAAAATGATGAAATATTAAATGAAATAAACTTGCAAGAAATGAAAGAAATATTTAATAAGCTGCAAAATGAATTAAAATTAAAAGAAAGTCTAGACATAATTATATATACACCACCGAAACGAATAGAAGATACAAAAGAAATGCTCAAATTAATAAAAGAATATCACGAATCTCTACATGGAGGACATTGTGGAATTAAGAGATGCATAAATAAATTAAAACAAAAATTTGTTTGGAAAAACATGAACAAAATGGTAAAAAATTTTGTCAACAACTGTGACACATGTGCAAGAGTTAAAATAATTAGGCACACAAAAGAAGAATACCAAATTACCGAAACACCAAACACATCATTTGATGTAATAACAATAGACACAGTAGGCCCATTAATACCATCTAACAATCAGATATATTTTAACACTTCAATGTGAATTAACAAAATTTGTAGAAGCGATTCCTTTAGAAACGAAAGACGCTGTAAATGTTGCGAAAGCAATTGTAGAAAAATTCATACTTAAGTACGGTTGTTTTAGAAAAATGAAAACTGACAAGGGCACAGAATTCACAAATGAACTTCTAAAAAACATTTGTAAATTGTTAAAGATAGAAAAAGTAACATCAACACCATTTCACCATGAGACATTAGGAACAGTTGAAAGAAACCACAGAGTTTTGAATGACTATTTGATGACCATGAAAACAATAAACAATTGGGACGAATTACTTCCTTATTACGTGTACAGTTACAACTCGACTCCACACACAACAACAAAATACACTCCATTTGAATTAGTATATGGTAAATTATGTGCATTACCATGTGAAATTATTAAAAATAAACAAACGATATATGATATTGAAAATTATGCTAATGAATTAAAAATAAAATTAAAATTCTCTCAAGAAAAAGCAAAAGAACAATTAATTAATGCTAAACATTTAATGAAAGAAAAACAAAAAAATGTTAATAAAGCAAAATTTAAAATAAATGATTTTGTATATGTCAAAAAAGGCAACAGAAAGAAATTAGATAACCCATATAAAGGCCCATATAAAATTGTATCACAACAAGGCACAAACAGTACATTATTAATGAATGAAAAACTTGTTGAACTGCACAACAATAATTTAATAAAATGCAGAAGCAGCAAAAAATAAATTTTGTAATACCATATTAAGTAAGAATTATACGAATACTACATATTGAAAATATTAAATAATAATATCATATTTTGCTAGATATGAATCCACATATTAAATAATAATTACATTTATAGCAATAAAAAAAAAAAAAGGTATATAAAATTGTTAATTTAAGAAATATGATATATGAAGAATTAATCACTTATAATTATATAAAATTTGTAGTGCAAATTACTTAAATATTCAATTCAATTAATTTACACTTTTCTAAAGGGGTAGGGTGTAGTGCCCATGACCTACGTTAATATCATATGTGACAAGCCACTGTTCATTCAGATAAAATAAATGTGTCATAAATTATAATATGCACTTTTGTCTGTTTGACGCTTTGACTTTGATCATATTACTTAAAAGAAATAGTTTGACTCATGCTGTTACAAATATGCATTTGTAACATAAGACATGATAAGCACGTATGGTCATTGCACTATTCCAACCTAAATTCTGGAAAGTGCATTAACTCTTTAAAAACAATATATGACGTATTATTGTAATGCGTTAGAAGAGTATTTGTTTATAAAATTAATGTAATAAAACAATTAATGTAATTTATGGGAGTAACCAATGCATTGATTGGTTACTCAAATCAATCGAAAAGTAAATAATAATTGTTTAGTAAATAAGCTAGAATAAGTATAAATACCCATAATTTTTGATAATAAAATAGATTCAATTTAACTTAAGACAAGGCTACGTCTTTGATTTGAATCGTGTTCTATGCGGCATTTAGATGCTGAAAGAACATTAAGCGGCTGAAGAGCTTAGTAATACTCAACAATAATCTGATAGGTCGTTTCCACTCTTATTGGTCGATAGGAGATCCTTTAATCATTTCAGGATTTAAATATTATTAATCAAGAAGACCTAATCCAGCAAACCTGCTAATATATATTGATGATTCTGACATCCTGCAATAACCATTATATGGCAATGGTAGAATAGCATTACATAGCAATAATACAACATCTTTACATATGGTGATCCTGTTAAATCATCACATATCATTACATGGCGAACCTACCAGGTTAACAACATAACAATATTATGCACACAAATCAACTAGAGTTTGATATTTGATTTCACCAAAATTTCGTTTCAAGAGAAAATCTCTTGGCGTAGCTGACGTCCAGATGCTTTATCAGATCTTTGTAAGAAAGCAAATGTAATCGGTTTATGATCCGTTAGCACTGTGCAATTCCTGCCCTCAATCATGTACCTGAAATACTTGACCGCCATATATATATCAAGTAGCTCGCGGTCATAAGTACTATATTTCTTTTTAGTCTCTGTCAGCCTTTTGGAATAGAATCCCAGCGGTTGCAACTGCCCATCTATAAACTGTTGCAACACCGCTCCTACTGCAACATTGCTAGCGTCCACAATTAACATAGCACCAGTTTCGCATTCGTAACCGGGTGTGCTAGCATGGCAGCATTCGCCAGATTGTTCTTACACACTTCAAATATTTTCTCGGCCTCTGCTGTCCACTCAATCGGAGATCTATCATTTTTATTATTTCCTTTTAATGGCGCGTTCAGATGCCATGATTCTTCGCAGCATTCAGGATGAAACGCCTGTAAAAATTTATTGAAGCGATGAACCTTCTTAACTCTCGTGCTTCCTTCGGTTTTTTAAAATTTCTTATCGGTTCTATCTTTTCAGCTATGGGTCTAATTCTATCCCCATTTATCACATGTCCCAGGAAGGTAACTTCTTTCATAAAAAACACACACTTTCCCATATTGATCTTCAGACCATGGTCGCTTGAACACTTCTCTTAAATGTATTTCGTGTTCCTTTTCATCAGCTGATGCTATACATATATCATCTATGTACGTTACTACATAATTCAGATTCTTTAGGACATCATTCATAAACCTTTGAAAATTCTGCGCAGCATTGCATAGACCAAAAGTCATCATGTTAAACTCATATAAGCCGAACGGGGTTATTATCGCCGTTTTAGTTCGATCCTCTTCAGCAATCGGAATTTGATTGTAGGCTTTTTCCAAGTCAATAGTTGAGAAAATTTTCTTATTGTGCAATATGCGAGTAAAATCATGTATATGGGGTATTGGATACCTGTCTGGCAGTGTTATCGAATTAAGCTTCCTATAATCGCCACACGGTCTCCACTTACCATCCTTTTTCGCCACTAAATGCAACGGACTTGCCCAATTGCTGTCACTTGGCCTACAAATACCTTGTTTCGTCATAAATTCAAATTCCTTACTCGCAATTTCAAAGTTTTCAAGGTTTATCCGCCGAGGTTTTGCATACACTGGCTGTCCTTTGGTAACAATTTGATGCTCTACTGGCGTAACCCTCGCGGCCACCTTATTACTAGTAACCGGATCCGTTATCTCTTTATAATCCCGCAGAATGTTATGTACCGGGCTAGTCGCATCAATACTGCTTAGCTTCACGCAGTGCATCTCTTTCTTCGAACCCATTATCTGGAGGCCTGTAATGCCATCACAAATTATCCTGTTCTTCAGGTCAACTACCAAACCAAAATTATTCAAAAAATCTGCCCCTATTATTGGGTGATTTATCTTCGCCAATAGGAACTCCCACAGGAACTGTTTGCGCAACCCCAAATTGACTTGCACTAATTTCGTTCCATTTGCTGCGTATAAATAATATTGCGCGGCTTTATTTTCAGGCTGCATTCTCTTTGGCAAAATTGAAACTTCCGCGCCCGCGTCTATTAGATAATTTACACCTGTTTTTTTATCCTTGAAGAACAGACGGCATGCCTTACCCTTTGCCACTTCACTCGCCATCAGACGTGAAGTGATGTTTAGTTTCCCGCTGAGTTTTGTGGTGGTTTGTACTGGCACGGCTGAACACATTTTGTGGACCTCTTCTTGAACCGCCGATGATAAAAACAGATATTATCTCTTTTAGCACTTGATGATCGCCATTTTCCACGATATCTGTCATTGCTTCTACCTCCTTTGCCCAACTGAATGATCAAATTATTTACCATGACTTTTAACTCGTCAATTTCTTTCTTTATCTCATTCTTTATCTCATATACCTCAAATACCTTATCAGCCACCTTGGCGTACTGTACAGAATCACCTTCGACTGCAGCTACGATTGTTCTAACTCTCACTGGCAGTCGCTGTAACCACAATAACTTCAGTACGTCATCACCCAATTGGCTGCTAGCCTTCATTTTCTTCAGCAATTGCGTTGGTTTCATGTCGCCTAGCTCCAATTCTGTCAACAACTTACGCAGCCTTTTGTGCTCCGATTCTCTGAATTCATTTATTAACCGTTTCTTTAACGTCTCATACTTCAACACCTTCGGTGGATCTCAAATCACATCAGCTACGCACTCCAGATATTTCGGCTCTAAATCTGCTACTACATGGTCGAACTTTGTATCATCTCTCGTTATTCCCGCATTCCTGAATTGCGCCTCCTTTTGCAGAAAAAAAGGTCCGGCTCTCTTGAAAACATCATCGACTTTATTGACACCCGATATACCTCCTTGTCAGTGCGGCTTTCTCCTTCTGCCGGAAAAAAATCTTCTTCCTCACGGTTAGTC